CGGCGTTAGGTCATCTCCTCCATCTGCAAATGTGCACATGAAAAGAATCAAATTATAAGTGTCTGTTAAAAAAAAAAAGGAGATTCTGCTTCTATTGCCAAAGCCCTGAGTTGTTTGAGTCTGACATAGTGGTATTTTCATAACCTTTTCCTTTGGATAGAGCATTACTCACAGTGTATGTCAGAACTTTTCAACATTAAGCGTTAAGAAATAAGGGAGAAAGAGCTCCAAGAGGGAATAGCTATCACTCGTTACCCTGAACTTCTAAAGCAGTCATCAAGAGACAAGCTCGTAAATTAGAAAGCAACTAGCCTTAGCTGCAGAAACTCCCACATCTGCATTTGACATCTGGCTTTGCTCCTGCCGGTGACGTCTGCAGATCTTATCTTCTTGAGAAGGCGGCTGGAACGCTGGCTACCAGGAAAGCGCTGCCTTTGTTCGGGAGCTGGCAGACGGCAGCTGGGAATACACTGGGAATACACGGCACGCAAGGGCTCCTGCAGCTGTCCCGGCTTCCTGGCCAGGACACAGCTGGATTCAGCAGCGCCGAGTCCCACGGTCCCTCCAGCTGCGGGAGGCCGGAGCCTCACCGGCTTGGCAACGGGGCCCGGTGCAGGAATCCTGGCCCCGCTCAGTCTTTCAAGCAGGGCCAGATAATTCCTGCACGGTGAAGTTGTCCCTCAGGGACCTGGAACAGTCATCTGCAGAGCTGACCACTGCACAAGGATGACTCTCCACGTGGGTAACGCAGCCTGGAATATCCCAAATAACTCTCCAGGAGATATCTAAGCTGGCTCCAGCAGTCACTAGAGGGTCTCTGCTGCGTATTCTGCATTTTGGGAGGCTTACTGGCTCACGGAGAGGAGCAGACAAATACACTAGCTCCATGTGGCTGTGTTCACAGCACGACGAATCCACCAGCAGGACAAGCTGGGGACGATGTTTCTAGACATTCCTTGTGCCCAGACAGGACGGGGCTGCTGCCTGTCCAGCCCTGTTCCCGCGAAACGCGGCTGGAGCTGCTGCTCCGAGAAGCGTTCCAGCCTGGTGGGAAAGCCACTCTAAATAAAAGCAGCCTCATTCCAGTAAGAACCAGCCTGCATGCAGCAAGAGCAGTTTTATTCCTGAGCTTTCACAAAAATAGAAGTCACCTCAGAACAGTCAGAGCTCAGGCACTCTTTCTCTGCAGTTACACCAGCCAAGCTTAAAAAACCTATAAATACATTCAAATCCTCTCTTTGCAGGTGAACATGTGTCTGAAAACCAGCTGCATCCACAATCCCACTGTCCCAGTGCTGGGGCCAGAGATCCTAATTTCAATCTCAGACACAACCGCTGTCCCTCCGGACGTTGTTAGTCAGAGGGCCCACGACCATGGATGCGCATCGCTTGGCAAAGAGCCCATTTTGGGAGCAAGGCACAGGCTCTGCACGCTCCTTCCCTCCCGCACGGGTACCCTAGGAAACCTCACAGCACTGAAACCTTTGCAGGTCCTCACCCCATGAAGCTACTCGGATTCTGAGAGGTTCTGTTCAGAAAGAATGGAGACCCCTGCATAAAACTTTTTCCACTACTTGTGATTCAAAAGACTTTCTTTCAAAAAGATTTTTGGAATCCTACTCCCATCTCATGAATGCAACTCAACATTCCCTTAAAGAATCCACTTGCCAAAAGACAGTCTCGATGAAACATCAAACTTTATCCCAAGAGAAACATTAATGAATTCCTGGACAGCAGATTCCAGCAGCCTAGTGTCTGAAAAGCAAAGCAACGGAGGCCTCAATAACCTGGTAACAGCTGGGTCAGGCAAGGAAACGTAGCTTTGGAAAAGCTTGGAGGCTGCGTCTCAGTTGCATTTACCAGTTCAACAATCATAAATACCTCAGCATCACGAGAAACTAGGCAACACCCTTGTCATTCCCAGCAATCATGTGCTGTCACCGGATGCTTCTGTCAGTCCTTCAAAGTGCACTGGAGCACACATGCAAGTAGAAAAGCTACACAGAAAATAATTAACATTCAAGAAATAGCTGGTATTTTCTGTGGAGCCTTTTCCTGTGTTCACGGAGAGCAATCTTGTCGAGTCAGATCGCATCTCGAATGGGATCACAAGGCTTGTTGATAACGGTAGCTTGGTAGATCTCCCAGTCTTGGAATTCAGAAAGACACTGAACTTGGCAGCACAGGGCATCCCTTTTCTGAACAATTCTTTGCTTTATAATACATGGAAAATGTGTTAGATGGATTAAGCGGGTCCCCAAGAAGCTGCACTAGCGTAGACGTTAATCCTGTAGTGGACTTCCACTGTCACCAAGTGATGATGCCAGTGATGTCACTGGCATCAAACTGCACATTTGGAAGTAAATATGAAACCATTATCAAAAACAACCCACAGGAGCTGAATCAGCGAAGCTAAAAGAAGAGGTTACCGCACCAACAGTTGCTGTTCTTGCTAAATCCCATTTCCAGGCACACCACAAGTGGGAAGTGCTCAGGGATGCTGGGGCCGAGCGGGAGCTACTGGGATTTTCCTCTGCAGTGTCTGGATTTTCTCTCTCCAGGGGACTCGCTTCAGGGAGACCTTTCACCGCTCAGGCCCTCAAGGTTGGGGCTGCTCCCCTCACTAACACCCGGCACTGAGGTCGCTGGAGAGCCCCGTGGTGCCGAGCTGTGACAAACGCCACCCTGCATCGCCCTGCAGCTTAGCCCGGGTCCACGCGGCCGGTTTTGTCCGCAGGAAAGGAGGGTGCGAAGGGGGTGATACCCCAAAGCGCAGATGCTGACGGGTACCCAGAAAGGCAGCAGTGCCACTGCCTCGGGTCCCGCAGCCAGGCCGCTCGGAGCGCACCGGCAGCGCCCGGGGACACGC